AAATCATGTAAATAAATAAAAGTTATCGAGGGAAGAAAAAAATTACAATCAAAATAGGGACGGATGAAGTATATTATTAGTGTACTACTCATTTTTTTCTCTAGGCCCTTATTTTTTTTAAATATCTTCGTATAACCATTGGTGAAATTTGCACTAAATAGGACCAAAATATAAGTCATTTACCAATGTAGTACTTAAAATTTTATATTCCCTAAATAGTACTTAATAATGTCTCTTGGGAGGAATTAATAATGTCTAGTGATGGTGAATATTTACTTGAATAATGAGTAATAGATAATGACCAATGGTTTTACACCGGGAAATAAAAACATATGGTCCTATTTAGAAAAAGACATTATGTTTTAATCTTATCTAGGTAAATTTCTCTTACCCTTTTACTCATATTCACTATGACCTTATACACTATGAAAATGACATGTGCGAATGTTTTACCTTTCTACTCATATATTCATAATGACCTTATACATTATCTAAATGTAATGTATGAATGTTTTACTACAATAATGTCTTAAGGCAATAATGTCTTAGATTATTTTAATATGTTTGTATACTACTTAATGTCCTCATATGCAATGTTTACACATGTTTTCTATATTTTTCCTTTAAATTTATATGCATAATGACTTTATTTTGTGAACTTCAATAGCCATGAAATATGTTTTCCCTTGCATGCCTAGTTGCATATTTCAAGGCAATAATATTTTAAAACAATATTGTGTGTATAGCTTAATATCTTCATATGCAATGTTTACACACGCTCTTTATATTTGCATCTTAAAGTTCATATGTATAATGACTTTATTTTGTGAACATCATCAGCGAGCAAATATAATATATTATTTACCCTTGCCTAGTTGCACATTACAAAAAATTAATGCCTAAGACACTGTTTTCTCATGAAATCCCAAAATTATTACATACTCCCCCTGTTCTCAAATATTTGTCACATTTCATTTTATTTACATATTGGTAGAAAAATAAAAACTAAAATTTACGCATAAAAAAACTACATTAAAAGTTCTTCAGAATAAGAGGCGTCAAAAATATTTTATTTTATCAAATAACCAATAAAAACATAGAAATAAACAAAAGTTCTCGTGACTGCTGAATTGAAAAAGTAAATGTGAGATATATTTTGGAACAGAGGAAATACTTCATTCATCTTAAATGTTTTTATAGTTTAACTTTTAATAAAAATTTTACACATTTTGATCATAAATTATGAAAACTGATGGATACCCTGGACAAGGGAGTATCCGGTCTTTGTATAATATTAGTCGGGGCGGTCCAGTTTGTGCGATCGGCCCGTTAGTCGTTTATCAATTACTTATTTAGGGCGGACTTACGTTCTAAGTGATACTCTTACTAGCACAATAATATCCTCAGTTTACCTGACCCCATACTTTGTGCACTCTCAACCTAGTTCGATACTCTTCCGCTTAGTTACCTAGGCCCCCGGGTTCCTTAACCCAACATTGGTGCTCTCGTTGAGAGTGTCGAACACATCAAGCGTGCTCTCAATTTTGTTTTTTTGGAACCAATTGCTTCGGTTCTGTCATTTTCCGATGGGGAGATTCATCTCTCTTCGGGGAATCAAGTCCTCACATTTCCACTGTGAGGCCACACAAATTTGGATTTCTTTGAAAAAAAAATCCATAAAGAAGAAGGTTGAAAGCGGATCTGGGCAAGGTCGCTGTCTCAACACTTCGCCTGAAGATGGGGAAATTGACGCCGGAGTACAGCGCCGCTCTCAGCACCGGAGTTCCAGACGAATCCTTCACCGAACATCATTGCGGGTAAGGTTGTCTCCATGGACGCCGGCGCACTGCTCCATCCTAAGCCCCTGAGCACCGGCGGCGAAGCCGTTGTCCGTTCGTGTCTTCTGCGACGGGCTTCAGGCGGTACTCCGATCTCCTATGCCGGCGAGGACCCAGCAAACGCGAGAAATCACTGATAGGCGAAGTAGATTACAGATCTAAAGATGGTAGCACTGGGTCAAATTTCAACCCGACCCGAAGAGATTTGCAGCAACCATTCCCGCAGGCCGCTCCCTGCTTCGTTCAGGTTCCCGGCGGCTCCATTCTCATTCCGGCGACCCCTTCCCTCCGGCGAGGGCAGCAGTGGTAACTCCCGGCGGCAGATCAGCGACCAACGACCGCAACAGCAGACCGGTGAAGCCCACGGCGGGCAAGTCCGACTCCAGTAGCCCGACTACGACGCCGGTCCAGGCCGGCAGCGACCCACCTCCATCCTTCCGGTGATGGCTTCTCGGTGTGCAGGCCTACCCTGTAGACATCAACGTCGGCGTGATTCAATGGTCGGTCCAACAAGTGCGCAGTCTCGCTCGATGGGCGGGATTCCTCGATGCGCCAAACTGTTCCTCCTGTACGTCGATCTGTCGGCTCTATAAAAAGAAGAGAAGGAAAAGAGCCTAAATTTTCTTACTGTATGAAGATATGGTCCATTGATTGTGGTGATGTATTGGCTGGACCCCACACGCATGATGACCTCCACATACGCATGGTGGATCTCAATTATGGGCAGTGCAACAAAAAAAAGATAAGAATTTTACATCATCATTTCAACTATTCCATATTTATTAATTTATTTTTACCATATTATTAATATGGTAATTGTCATCATTTATTCTATTATTATTACTATTACCTTGTCCACCACGTGTGATCAGACCTCACTTGGACGATGGTATTACACTTTAAGCCCTGATGTGGGACGGTTAACCTCACACCCCACACAGGCCAGCGACCTGCCTCAGGCCATGGCTCAGATCCAACTCATTTAGTCATTCCTTAGCGAGGTCGGGTAAAACCTCTCTACGAGGTGTTGAAGATCGTCCGCGACGATATTATCGCGAGGCCGAGGTAAGCCGTCCACCGCGACGCACTCCTATCCGTTTTCCACGACGCGATCTCATTTCCTCTTCCACGAGGCCGAGGTAAGACGTCCACCGCGACGCACTCTCATCCGTCTCCCACGACGCGATTTTATTTCCTCTTCTACGAGGCCGAGGTAAGCCCTCTCTGCGAGGCACTCCAAATCGTCCGCGACGATATTATTCGCGAGGCCGAGGTAAGCCGTCCATCTCGACGCACTCCTATATATCCGTCTTCCACGACGTGAACTATTTGCTCTCGGATCTAAGGCGAGGGGTGCATCCTTTGTGCCTATCTCACTTACCCGAGTAGCTCTCATTTGAAGACCCCGGTCTCACTAAGGATGACGCCAAGGTTTGTTCTAGACCGGACTACTACACGATCGGCACATTTCGCTGATTAGGCCTATCTTTTGTCCAAAACTTTTGATTTGACTCATACGTTGACTTACTTTTCTCGGCCGCGTGGTGATCGGTCCATCCGAGCCCGCGAGCGTCTTGTGTTCTTTTTTGAACTTATTTTGCAGGTTTGAAGGATGAGAAGGCCAGGCTCGGACTCAGCCCCCGCGTGAGGCACTCGAGCTCGGCCTCGACCACCTCTGTTAGAATAGGTGCCCTTCACTAGAGGGGGGGTGAATAGTGAGGCACGAGAATGTTTATAAATTTTCGCGGAATAAGAATTGCAGGATAAAGTAAAGAGCGTAGAAAGCGTAAAGGGAGCACACCAAGATTTATACTGGTTCACCACAACGTGTGGCTAATCCAGTCTCCCGAGAGACTCTCTCGAGCTACACTACTTCCGTTAAGCTTACGGGTGCTTAACAAACCGTTACAACCTGAGAACTCGAGTCCCACGAGCCTCAACAACACTTGCTCGGAGATACCACACTCCAAGACTTCAACCCGAAGGAAAATATCTTTCCTTCGTACGACCAAGGGAAATAAGCTTCCCTTAACGTGTATACAACACCAAACACTCAAGAACAAATACTCTCTCTTAGAGTGGATATTGAGTAAAATATATACGCTCAAGAACAACTCAAACTTCACACAATTTGGCTCTAGAAAGCTATGGAAAATGATGTTATTTGAATGCAATGAAAGTATGAATATTGTGAAGTGAATTGGTGTATAAAGCAGACCCAAACACCCCTTTTTATAGTGCCAAANCGTGTATACAACACCAAACACTCAAGAACAAATACTCTCTCTTAGAGTGGATATTGAGTAAAATATATACGCTCAAGAACAACTCAAACTTCACACAATTTGGCTCTAGAAAGCTATGGAAAATGATGTTATTTGAATGCAATGAAAGTATGAATATTGTGAAGTGAATTGGTGTATAAAGCAGACCCAAACACCCCTTTTTATAGTGCCAAAGTAGGCTCTAACGGACTTATGAATTAAAGGGGTGATTGGCTTGATTTATGGGATGGAATAAATTTGGGATCTGCAGGATATTGGTTTCCCATCGATGTTTAGACTCAACCATCGCTGGTAAGCCAATTTTCCTTCAGTTTTGAAGGCAACGGTCACCTACCCATTGATGGGTAGATGCTTCCCATCGCTGGGTGGGAGGTTGACTTTCAAATAAGGAAAGAATCAGCCTTAAATGACTCACAACGGTCATGCCTAACCAGCCATGGGTATGCCCTCCCATCGCTGGGTTCCCATCGATGGGTAAAGGTTCCCATCGCTGGGTAAGGGCATTCTGCCTTGTGAAAATGTTGGACCAAGGCTTAAACAACGATGGGTAGAACTTCCCATCGCTGTTTGGCATGGTTCTGGAAATCAGTTTCGCTGAGGGACTGCTTACCCATCGATGGGAAGATATTCCCATCGCTGGGTGGCATGATTCTGGAATCTCGGGATCACTTACCCATGCATGGGTGAAATTTACCATCGCTGGGTAGATGGCTAGTCCAGAACCATGGCTTAGCCGACCGGTGCTGAAACCCGACCGAAAATGCAAAGTTCTCCAAAGTAAAAACTAAGTATTTAAAACACTTATTTAATTTATTGTGATATCAAAACAAGCTTTGTAAGTTGAAAACCACGTCGTTAAGGTAAAAACCATGGTTGACCAAGTCAACACCGTACACGGGTGGTTTTCACTAAAAGACAAAATCGAAAGGTGGTTTTCATTATGTTTTGATTGGAGAACCATTTTAATGCATTCAAAAACAATTTCCACACAAAAAGACTCGAAAACCACTTCATTTAAGTAAAAACCACGGCTAGCCAAGTTTATGCCGTTTCGCATGGTTTTTATCAAACGACAAAAAAACGAAAGGTGGTTTTTGAAGTGCTTTTGATGGAAAACTATTTAAATGTGCCCAGAAGTAAAAGCCAATCATAAAAAGTTGAAAACCACTTGGTTGGTTCGGACGCCAAAAACCAACGCCGATAACCGAATGCCGAATGCCGGTTTCCAAAAGCCGAACGTCGGATGGCTTGGTTTTTGGTTTGGGCGAACACCAAGTGTTTTTAATATGTTTAAGAATGTTTGAAAATAATTTTTATGATATGTAAAATGCAATAAAAAATGTTTTAGCCTAAAGAGCCAAAGTGCAAAACTTGGGTCGGTCTTGATCACATTGTGACCGACTCAATGACGCTAAAGACTACGGTCTTTGTTCTTGGGCTCTTTTAGCTCTTGTTCTCTAGCTTTCTTCTTATATTTATTTCTCGCCTTGTATGATCAACAACTTGTCTCGTTCACGGCGGTTTGGCATTATCAAAACCTGTCATAAAAACGAACACGGCTTTAGTACGAAAAACGTGACAAGCCCGTGTTTCAACAACCTCGTGGGGCACACGAGCTCGGCCTTCAGCCACTCAAGCTCGGCCTCGACCACTTGAGCTCGGCCTCATCCACTCAGGCTCGGCTTCAGCCACTCAAGCTCGGCCTCGACCACTTGAGCTCGGCCTCATCCACTCAGGCTCGGCTTCAGCCACTCAAGCTCGGCCTCGACCACTCGAGCTCGGCCTCATTCACTCAGGCTCGGCCTCATTCACTCATGCTCGGCCTCGACCACTTGAGCTCGGCCTCATCCACTCAGGCTCGGCCTCATTCACTCAGGCTCGGCCTCGACCACTTGAGCTCGGCCTCATCCACTCAGGCTCGGCCTCATCCACTCAAGCTCAGCCTCGACCTCAGCCATCTCGTGAAGGGGCCAGAGACTCCCACCGGAGCCGAGCATGGACACTACTCCCCTTCACCTTGGAATTCTTCTTCGGCTTACGGAGTGGGGGACTCCGGGTGCTCGGCTCGTGATTGTTACATCTCACATAATGGAGAGGTTGGCGATCGACATCATGACCTTGTATCAGACCGCAGCAGTCCGTGTTGGCATGCACTCATCGGCAATCCATTATGTCGAACAGCCCTCGACTCCGGACAACGAGTCCGGGGGACTTGAAGATCACCTCTTTTGAGATTCACACAGAAGACCTCACACCCTAGCAATATTTTCTTGATGTACTGTATGGGACGAGATGTACTCTTTTCTTGACCGAGGATTTTTTCCCATCCTCATGGGTTTTTTCCTCGGCAAGTTTTTAATGAGGCATCCCCCGTGGAGTGGGTCACACATTGACGGGATTGTGGGAGGATTTCTGAAGACGACAAACGGACTGCAGATGACGACTTCTTCTTGTCTTGCCGTTCCAGACAGCAAGTTGGCATTACATTTCAGACTTGTGGCGTTGTTTGCCTTATTTCACCGTGCTCGGGACAGCGAGTTGACGGTGCCCTAGAAACTAAGGAAGACGGTGTCCTTTGGTGGATTATTGTTCTACTTCCACTTCACCTCGAGTTCCTCTCGGCTCGGAAAGTGGGGGATTCATGATGGATACCCTGGACAGGGGGTATCCGGTCTTTGTATAATATTAGTCGGGGCGGTCCAGTTTGTGCGATCGGCCCGTTAGTCGTTTATCAATTACTTATTTAGGGCGGCCCAGCCTGTTGGGCCGGCCCATTGGTCTTTGTTTGTAAACCCTAGCCCTAACTCTCCCATTATATATACCCCTCTTCTTGGAAGAGGGAAGGGGGGAGGAGCTCATTCCACACGCTCCGGACTTACGTTCTAAGTGATACTCTTACTAGCACAATACTATCCTCAGTTTACCCGATCCCATACTTTGTGCACTCTCGACCTAGTTCGATACTCTTCCGCCTAGTTACCTAGGCCCCCGGGTTCCATAACCCAACAAAAACAAATAATTTAGTTATTATGTAAATTTAATATAATTAATTTAATTTTAAATTAGATAGGTAATGGGATAATGGGGTTTTTACTAATTCTATGGTCATTCCCTAAATTATAGCCAAACTTGATTGAGGAAAAAACGGTGGGAAGTTTTTCTTTTAATGCTCATGGGATATTTTTGTAATTTTGTAGCACTATACGGTAATGTAAATAGGAGTACTCCTATTTAGGGAAAAGTGGTAGCTTTTACTCTTATATATGTAAATTACTATATGTGTATAGTATATATATATATATATATATATATATATATATATATATATATATATATATATATATATATATATATATATATATATATATATATATATA